AGAGAGTGTGAAAGAGAACACGGGGGCGAGGGGCAGAGGGAGAGAGAGGGAAGCAGACTCCTTGCTGAGCGCAGAGCCTGATGCGGGGCTCGATCCCAGGACCCTGGGATCATGACCTGAGCCGAAGGCAGACGCTTAACTGTCTGAGCCCCCCAGGCGTCCCCTTCTGACTCTGCCTCCCAGGGGATCCCCAGGGGATGGGGACCGTCAGAGAGGCATCTATTGCAGGCAGGGAAAGCAGTGTCAGCCACCAAATCCCAGAGTCCTCAGTCCCAGGACCCGTCCCCATGGGGCCTGTCTCCTCAGGGAAGATGGCCTGGGCCCAGTGAGAGAGCAGTAACAGAGGGCCGGATGGCAGTCTTTACCACAGAACCTCAGGAGGTCTTCTTGCAAGAAGGGCCGTATGCATCGGGTTTTGTAGGAGTTCTGCAGTCAGGCCTAAGACATCCACGTCTCTGGCCTGGGGACTGGACAGCAGGACAGACAGAATGGTCTCGCTCCGTTCTCAGATGTCCTGTGAATCTCATAGGTCATCGCTGTCCAGCCAATTGGAGGGGGCATATGTTTGCTTACCTGCAGGGCATCGTGGAAGACGCGGACCCCGGGCAGAAACAGTCCACCCTCCAATGGGAGCCCAGTATCCTCTCCATCCCATTCCTACTTCAGTCCCCTCTGGGGGCAGAGCATACCCACAAGACCCCCATTCGTCCCCCAGGAAATGGATTCAGACACCCTGTCTTCCCGCTCAGGCCTCTTCCTAGATGGACATGAAGCAGGTGGGTGCTCATGGGGAGCGTTTTGAAGAAGGCTTAAGAGCTGAGCACGGGCCCAGCCTGCGGAGCAAGACCTGAGTTCTTCCCCATTTTCAAAGGGGCATCTTGGATGGAGGGCTTGTCTTCCTGGCCTGCCCCCACCATCCAGGCTTTCTACCCACCCTCTAGAGGCACAGTCCTGACAGTCAGTCCCACAGGCGCCTTTCCCACCACAGAGCTGGGCCACAAGCCTCTGAGGCCAGGATGGCAAGGTCCCTGCTGCCATCCATCACCCCACATCAACTTAATTAAGTCCACCTTCCAGATGTCAATCTCTGAAAGAGTTTTTTTGGTTACATGTGAGAAGAAACCAAACTCAGGCTCAGGCACAAAAGGGTAAATCTGGGATCATGAAACTGAAGCACCTAAAGGTTTCAGATATGGCTTGATCCAGGGGCTCCAAAGGCACCCTGGAAGTTGGTCTTCCTCTTTTGGCTCTTTCAATTACAGCCTATTTCCAAATCCCACCATCAAATCTCAGTGGCCGTCTCTGGGCCACACGCCCTCCCTGAACCAATTGCTGTAGCCAGGGGAGGGAGGGCTCTGTCTGGGCTGAGATCATGTGGCAGAACTACCCCAAATGCTTCTCCCGAGGACACTGGGGCCCGGACACCATGATTAAGGGCTGACCAAAGGAAACAATAAGGTGTTTGCTCCAGGCCCTGTGTGAATCTATGAGGCCCACCTTCACAGGCCAGAGCCTGAACCTGAGCCTGAGCTATCTGCAGGACTCAACTCCTACGGACTCACTAGCTGACCACAGGACCCCCTCCCTGCCCCCAGCTGCTTCCCCACAAAACTCTCCAACAAAAACAGCAAGTAGGGCTGTTGCTAGGTTGTGGGTGTCCCAGATGGCTGGGAGGGGGTAGCCGTGGTGGGGTGCCCTCCGTTCTGCCTTCCCCTCACAAAGATGATGGAGGCCGAGCAGGTAGGAAACATCTTTATTATTGGCCTTGATTCATTCATCATGTAGTGTGCGACGTGGAGTACGTGTCCAGAGGATCTGCCTGGCGCGTACTACCCCCGCCCCTCTAGTGCAGACACCAGGCCTCTGTCCATCACACAAGGGAAGCCAACCCCACCGGCCCACAAGTCCATGCTTGGGGTGCTGAGCTCCAGGCTCTCCCAGGAATGGACCCTCGGTCCCTCCCCCTCTATTTTGGCCAGGAGTCCTGGGGAGGCCGAGGCTGAAGCCTGAACAAGCACTCTCTTTTTGGTTTCGTGATCATTTAAAAAACAGAGGAGACAACATTTCACAGTCTTTAAAAAATAGGAGTCTGAGGAGAGAAGCCAAGGTCCTCCACTTGGGGGCCCCGCGCGAGGCCGAAGCATCCATGTCCCTTGAGGTCTGCAGACCCAGCCGCAGCGCAGCCGGCCCTGTGAAGTCACTGGCCTGAGCCATAGGGCCAGTTGAAGGTACTTCCTGACAGCAGCATGTCTCGGATCAGCGTCTCGATAGGTGTCTTGCCCACCAGGCGCATGAAGAACAGCTGGGAGATGAGGGAGGCGGGGACAGCGCGCAGGGCTGGGAGCCGAAGCAGCAACCGTCCGAAGCGCTGGGGCTGGGACGGGTACTGAGCCCGCACATACTCTGTGAGGGCCACCTGCGCCTTCTCCTGCAGGCTTTCCACGTGTGCTGGGTCTGAGAGGCCACAGGCATCTGGGGAGACAAGGGCAACGTCAATCGGGTGGGCAGTGGCAGGAGGACACGAGGCCCCTCCAGGGGTGACTGGAGGGCACCACTCGGGGTTGTGGGTCTGGCGGGGGGGCGCGTTCAGGTGGGAAATGGAGGCCTGAGGCACAAATGGGCGCATCTCAGGCAGTGCCGGTCCTCAGGAGAGACTGAGGTGGTCTCAACTGCGGCCAGCAACACAGGAGTGTGGCCAGCCGTGTCTCAGGACAGAGGAGCCCCGACTGAGGCCTTTGGCAGGGTGACAAGTTCTAATCAAGCTCGAGGGGAAGGGAGCTAGGGAGGGAGGGGACTTGGGAAGGAAGGCCAAGCCCAGAGGGAGTGTTCAGACAGAATGGCCTAGTGTGTCAGTGAATGTGACAGCATCTAAGCTGGGGACCCATGAAGGGCAAGGTACTGGGGAAAGAGGGGCAAAGCCATATTTATCAAATGAAAGCCACCTCTCAGAGTGCTGGGTCTGGTTCTTGCATCCCTGACCCCACGAAGATACCTATGGGATCCGGAACCTTCCAGAGTGCAGAACCAGCTGTGCCACTGGTTCTTACTCCAGTCTCTGGAGTAAGGCAGGGCTTTCGGGTGCTGGATGGGTTAACTGATGACAAGGAAGGTACTGGGACAGCCCTGCCCTAGCCCCGCCCACAGAGGGAGGGACTCCAGGACACGCCCCTGCCCAATCCCACCCTAACCATCCCCCACCCCCACCCCCACCCCCGCGGCCCTGGCTGCCAGGAGGCCGCCTCGGGGGCAGTTTGGGAACCCTGGGTCAGACGTCTGAGGGCCCAGGAATCAGGGGGTGGAAAGGCTCAGGGGAGGCCAAGCCCAGGTGTCAGAGTATCGCGGCCTGGCAGCCCTCCACAACTGCACTGGAGGCAGGAAGAACCCCCTGATTTGGCAGACGAGGGTCAGAGGGGCTGGGGAGGACAAAGATAGGGACTGAGGGCCAGAACCAGGTGTCCGCGACCTCCCTCCCTCATCCCCCCCACCTCTCAATCTGCCCACTGAGCACGAAGAGCACCCTGATGAGGGGGTGGAGGGTGGGTCTCAGGGAGCCCGGGAATCAGGGAGAGAGGCTACTGGGGCCTGAGTCACGGGTCCAGGCCCAGCTCTGGGTTCTCAGGGAGACCTGGGCTCCGGGGGTGGGGACATCGGGTCCCCCCCCTCCACCCCTACCCCCCTTATCAGCGCTCAGGCACGTGCAGGGCCGGCTGAGGGTCAGGGAGTGGAAGGCTATGGGGGCCCGGGCTCAGGGTCCAGCCCGGCCCCCTCCCCGCCCCCACACCCGGGCGCGAGCGCGCATCTCACCCGGCGTGAAGAGCGCGATGGCCTTGAGGCAGCCGTACTCGGCCGAGTCGACCTGCAGGCGGCCCAGCTTGTCCACCTGCTCCTGGAAGGCGCGCACCTGGTCCATGAAGGCCACGGCGCGCTCGGCGGCCATGGGCGCGGCGTGTAGGCCGGCGGCGGCCAGCAGCGGCGCCGTGTGCAGGGGCAGCGCCGCCTGCGCCGCGTTCAGCACGAAGAGCTCGCTCCAGCTGAGGCGCAGCAGCGCCACCTGGTCGGCCACGGGCAGCTCGGGGAAGAAGGGCGCGTGGCGCGCCCACTCCACGGTGCTGAAGAGCAGCCGCGCCGCCAGCTCGCACACGTTGTCGATGCCCAGCACCG